CTGCAAAAAAAAAGAAAAGGCGTCCACTTCTTGGACTGCCCCAAACCCCGTCTCAAGCCAAGATGATGAACACTTGGGGCTTTGCAATTCAGCTGTCAATTGGTTCTTGGCTGCCTGCCAAACAAAACTCGTCCACGGCATGCCGCCTATGAAACAGGTCTTACACCAAACACCAACAAAGCTGCGATCTCCCGTCAACCATGGTTTGGCGAAAAGGACTTGCTTTCCTCAGGGGGCAACTGTGATGCTTGGAGGGACCCAGTCCGCCCAAATCAACCCCTGAGTACGTGCGTCTCAGCTAACCTTGGTTTGGATTAGTGTGGACCTTGGAGGTACCTTTCTAACGTTTTTGTTTTTCCCTTTTTTCAAAAGGATCTGAGGGTGCAAACCACCATTTTGGGAGAACCTGATCTTCCCGTCAACAAAACACGAAACCCCCCAGAGTCATTGCAGAGGCCCCCGCGGTTCTCATCGTCCACCTGAAGCGCGAGAAGGCGGCGGGCCCTCGAACCCGAAACGAAGACTCCTCCAAGACAAGGCTCCAGAGGCAGGGTTGCCCAGGAAGCCGCTGAACAGGGCAATGTTTTACTGCCCCCATGTGAACCGTATCACAAAAAAAATGAAGACCCGTTTGCGTAAATCAAGGTCAACGAAAAACTGGGTGTGTCACAACAAGGAAATCGCTTTGGTTCTCCTTTTGGTTTCCCTTTTCTGCCATAAACAGAGTACCGAGTTTAGCCTAATTGATGGGATGTTCATGTACCAAAGTGGCAGTCTTCTGGACTTGGTGACTGACTTTGCTCCCCGCAGAAACCGACTCAACAAAAATTGAAGCCGTTCATTGGTGTTTGACGGTGGCTGCAGCTCAACTATTGCTGGTTGAGGGGCGCTTTTTACCGCCTTACGGCTTTTCAGTGCTCTCAACTCAGCCAAGACGCCACGCTCTCTTCGAGCAATGCTAATCTTCTTTGGCGAAGTGTTTCGCGTAGCAGGTGGGCCTCCTCAAACGCCACCTCAGCACAGTGGCCCCAACTGCCAGATTTGGGTCCGCCTCCAAATGGAGCCGCCAAAAGACGTGTTGCGTTGTTGTTGTTTTTTTTTCCAAGCGCCTCCCCAAACACGAACTACCTGAGGATAACAACCCGCTGTTGGGGGCAGTTGCGGGCCAAAAAGCGCCCAAAAAGGATGCCCTCCCGTTGCAGAAGAGAGGCGATTTGGGGATCAGTGTCCGATGCCGCTGACTCATCATCCTCGTCATCCTGGCAAAGGCAAAGCATGTGCTTTTGGCCTATATCTATTTTGCATTGCTACTAAAATCTCATTTACAATCATATCCTTGTCCTCTGATCATAAACTGTTTTTGGAATCTTGTTTTTTTTAGGAATTACTATTTTTTCTTACAAATTATCTCTGGAATCTTCTTAGATTTACATGTAACATCAGATATTAATTCAGCATAGTTTAGTATTTTCTTTGTAATTCGAGAAATATATTATGGATGATGTTTACGTTGTCTTCATTTTAATGGTGCATCATTTGTTTTTCTACATCTTGGAAGAGCTATATCTTATGCTTCATATGTTTATAATCCTATTACTTGGTTTTCTGGAATCAGTATTTACTTCTTCTTAATGGAAACAGCATTTATGGGTTATGTTTTACCGAATTGACAAATGAGTTTATGCGGAGTTGCAGTAATTACAAATTTATTATCTCCCATTCCATCTTTAATAGAATTGCTTTGTGGAGGACATTATGTTTACAATCCAACATTGAAGAGGTTCTTTGTCTTTCATTTTCTATTTCCATTTCTTCTTTGTGGTTTTCTTCTTTATCATATTTTTAATCTACATTTTCTATCTTCTAATAATCCTAACAGGAATTCCACTAATAACAAAATAGCATTTTTCCTTTCATTGGTAGTAAAGATTTCTATGGAAAGATATTAATTCTCTATCTATATCTTCGTGAAATTACCTCCGGGTTCTCTTCTTTCTCACATCCAGATAGTGCTTTAGAAGCATGTGGATTGCAAACTCCTTTACATATGGTACCTGACCGGTATTTCTTATGCCAATATGCTATGTTACAAGCTGTGCCGAATAAAAATGCAGGATTCAATATCTTATTTACTTCTATCTTCATCTTATTTTACTTTATGAGAAGTCTCTCTTTTTTCATTCTATTTTATAATATTTACATCTAGTAGATTCAATGGTGTTTATCTGTGCTTTTGGTGTCTGAATTTTGTTTCTCCTATTTGGATAGGTGGTCAATTTCCTGTAGACAACTGTCTATCTTATGGTCGTATCTTGACATGTAATTATTATGATCTTCTTATCTGTATCGCACTAATATGTTATCTTTTTATATCTCCAGTTTGTATCGTTTCAACCTTCCAAGATAAGAAGATAACCCACAAAGAAGATTACAAATAACAAAAACACCATATATAATTCCAGAAAATAAAATTGAAATGGACAAGTGACTGGAATTATATTGGAGTGAACTATTATATGTTGATTATGTATTGTTCATTGTCTTTTTCTTTTACATTAATTCCTATGTCTCTGGATCTCCCTCCGAACGAAGTGATGAATAGAGGAATGGAAAGTGAAAGGAATTATAGATGTAACTACAATGTGGAAGAGATAGAGAATGAGGAATGAGATGTTACTTCTCTTTTGGACATCTCCTCACTCTATCTCTCACATACTAATTCCTTCCTCCGCTCGCTTCACTCACTCACATCTCTTTCACATCTATTCACTGCCTTTTCCTCCGTCAAGTCGTGAATGAAGGTGAACAGAGAGACGGAGGGAACAAGGCGAATCTGGTCGCTTCTCTCCCTATCCCTTACAGCCGTTTCCAAAGATCCATTAAACCGGCTGGAGAGACAGTTGATAGTTACCTTTGTACCTCAGAAATTTCTGGTTTACGAGCTCTTCCCTTCCTGTTCATCCTTCGGTCACTCTGTTCCTTGGGATTTCCGAGCGAAGAGAGGAAGAGAGGAACACATGAGCCAGTGTGTGTTAGAAAGGAATAACAAAGCTTCGGGGGTCCCCCTACTTTGTCATGGAAACCCAGGATCAAGCAGACTGATGGATTGTTTGGGGTCCTCTTTAGAGGCGATTGTCAAATTTTGGGTCCTTCTTGGTAGCGGCACCAGGCTTCCGTTGCTCCTCCAGGTTCGGCTTAAATCTGGGGTCGATCCTGTAAACCTCAGCCCTTCTCCACACCCACGCCTCAGCCTCTGCCCCGTTCGCGTCTTTGTCTGTGTCCTTCGTCTCTTTCCGCACCTGCTGCAATCCGTAGCTACAAAACATCCATGCTACATGGCCAGCTGCCTCACGAAATGTGTCCGCATGATGTCTGTATTTTATGAACCTCAAAACCGTTTGCTGGAGCAGATCCTCATGCAAATGACGTCCACTGAACGCCGCCCATCAAAGTTCATATCCAACGGAGGCGTTGACTGTCGAGGACCACTTTGGCTTGTGTTTGCCAGTTGTTCTTTTCAAGGAACCTCCTCTTGAGATGGCCGCAGTTCCCCTTGGCAAGGTGAAATTGACGTCATTCGGGAACCTTTTGCTGGAAGCCAGTAAAACCCCCTACTCTGCATGCATGAAACCTGGTATCACCAAGCAAACTACAAATCGAGTCTGAGATCTTTTGGGACGCCAGAAGGTTCCTGTCAGACACAACCATAGTGGGTTCATCCCTTCATCATGTTTCCAACATGCTTCTCCGAAACCAGGAGAAGCTGTGTAGTCTCCAAGAGAACTAGCCTCAGAATGCTTCAACAAGGATCTTTGAATCGCCAATTCAACCATGAAAATATCGCCCCTACGCCCACAAACGGGCCAAAAGACGGCCATGTGTTGTTTGCATTTCAAAACATATCTAAAACTAACTAGGTATGAACTCCCAACAAATGCCCCGATCGACCGATCCCTGCCTGCGCGGACTCCAGTCGTCGCGGCAGGCGACTCATCCACAGGCGCCGGTACTCTGCCGCCTCCCCTGGCCACCGAAACGCACAAGGAGAGGCGCCGACTGGCGCGCGCCTTGCCCGCCGGTCAATTGTCTTTTTCTTTTGTTTGCATCCCAATATGGTGGGTTCTCCCTTTTGAGTTGCCTTTAAGACCGCTAAAAAGGGGGGCAGCCTCAAAAAAGACAGACATGACAGACTGGTATAGTGACTTTGGGAGGGACGTTGAGGACTCACTCAAATCCTCGGTCAGAATGGATTTTCAGGTGAATACCCTCGCTGGCCAACGATTCTGGGGGTTATTGAGCTCTTTTGCTGCCGGCATCTATTGCCAAATGCCCTCTGGAAAGTACTTGACTGGGTTTTGACATCGGTTCATGTCCGCGCCATCTGCAGGATTTCAAGGTCCCCCAAAGTCACACCCAAAGCGCTCGACGTTTGCTTCTACCAATGTGCAAAGGTTTATACGGGAGTTTCTCGATGGACCTCCCTGTGAGTTGGTACTCAAAGGCAAACCAAACTTGCTTCAAGGACACCCTACCTGTGGAACCCGCGAAGATACTATGCTTCTCATGACATGCCGAACCGTTCGCGCAGATCTGGCCTCTTTGGGCGACCTCACTGAGCGGGGAGGACTCCATCATCGCCTCTTCAAACTCCACCGTCACCGCCTTCCCGCTTTGGTCGCACGAAACGGGTCTGAGGAGCCGCAGGCCGGCCGCGAGGAAACGGCACGTGGAATGGAACGCGCCTCCTTGAGGGCAAACCAGCGCCCCCAACCTGAAGCTAAGGCCAAAGACGCCCCCCCACTTGTCTGAGAGTTTTGCAGCCTTTCGGGTGCTGGAGTTGCTGTTCTGCAACTTGCCGCATGGCGCCCCTTCCCGGCTCTGAACTCCGAGCGCCGAGCTCACGCCGTGCTTCGACAAAGCGCTGATCTGGCGGATGCTGGCGCGAATAGGGCAGCTCCTCCGGACGCGCCAGCGTGCCGAAAACACGTGCCCCCTGAAGT